AAATCAAATTGTAAACGTAAATTATTGTTTAAAAAAACGCAAGGTAAAAATACCAGTACTTATTCATCTATTCGTCATCTAGTAACCCCCACCTATGTTTTAAAAGCTTCAGATTATCTGCGAAAAATTTTGTCGTGAAATCGATGATTTTTGCATAACCAGACTAGGCTATTTTTTATATTTCCTTGATGATCGTTATCGCAATGACATTATTCATTAACGAGGTTGATTTATGTTACGCAACTGTAGGATTCCAGGCACTTCCAATGAGGTGTAGGATAGATGACTACATCAATTTACTATTTAACTGGGAATAAGCCACAATTAAAGATAAAAATACGTTTATTGACGTTTCAATTTCCACTTCGGAAATCGTTGTCAAAATACAAAGAGTAAATTAAACAAATTTTTTTTTGTTACATAGTGAAAAAATTCTTCTAATAATTTAATTTTATCTGACTCATTTATATTGACAATTCAGACATACATTATGCATTTTAAAGTAGACATCAGTCTTATATTAAAATAGAGAATTTGATAGATCTCAAATATGTAAACACGCATGGGATAATGAACATAGGGTTCAATGGAATAATTCAAATGTAGTCCTAAAACGAAGACGGATGGTAAAAAAGGAAAATCAAAGAAGCGGCTTTAATTATGCTAAATGAGGCCAATTGTGTCGCAAATTCGTCGGCAAATGTAGTAGGATCTGGTTACCAATATTGAAAGAGGAAGTTATTAATAAGAAATACCAGTATTAGTAATTCAGTAACATATAGAGGATACATCATTTATGTTTTTTAAATAACGAACATATAAAATCAGATTTTGGTGTTTATTGAAGGTAAACTAAATGCACGAACAAATACTTACCATGTCGGGATAGTATTATGAGGTTTTTTTCCTGGTTTTTCCCTCATAATTTACTATGGAATCACTAACAGGAGAATTTTACTGTCATCGTGTCATGTGTTTGTCTTTTCAAAGACGAATTATATTCTATGATTTTTTCTGACGGATATTCTCAAGTTAAAGTTGATTTCATGTAATCGAATGAACTATCTTATAAGTAAAGTCGTCCCAGGAGCGCAACTCAACAATATTGGCAATATCATTTTAAAGTCGTCTACTTTAAAATGCATAATGTATGTCTGAATTATCAATATAATTGAGTCAGATAAAATTAAATTATTAGAAGAATTTTTCACTATGTAACAAAAAACAAAATTTGTTTAATTTACTGTTTGTATTTTGAGGACGATTTCCGAAGTGGAAATTGAAACGTCAATAAACGTTTTTTATCTTTAATTGTGGCTTATTCCCAGTTAAATAGTAATTAATTTAAAATGCCACAAGAAAATAGCTTCAGAACAATAGATGACTACATCATTTTGATTAATAATTGTGTCAACTGATTTGAATGAAATCAACTTTCCGAAATTCAGAGTAGTATATTCAACCGAATATACATATAAAATTCATAAAAAGCGGTCAAGTCGTTTCGAAGTAGTATGGTAACAAACTCTGTGACATTAATATGGCTCTTAAGAATTAGGGGTTAGTAACAGAGGGGTGAAAATTAGGGTTTGTATGAATTTTTTAATGCCATATCACAAAAAAAATTAAAATAAAAAGTTTTGTCCAAAACTAATAAAAAAATCTTTGGGTGAACCAACCCTTTACCCCTTAGGGGTATAGAAAAATATGTTACATTTCATAAAAATCGGTTTAGCCATTTCGGGAGAAGAATTGCAACTAATTTTGTGACACTAATATGGCTATTAAAAAAAAAATAGGGGTTAATAGAAGGGTGAAAATTATGATTTGTATGTATTTTTAATTGCCATATCATAAAAAAAATTAAAATAAAAAATTTTGTTTAAAAAATTTAAAAAAATGTTTGGAGTGAACCACCCTTAGGGGTATTAAAAATATATTAGGTACGAAATATTCTCAACCCTACCGAATATATATGTATAATTTTATAAAAGTCCGTTCAGCCATTTCGGAGGAGTATGGCAACTAATTCTGTGATACTAATATGGCTATTAAGAAATAGGGGTTACTAATAGAGTGGTGAAAAGTAACAGAGAGCTGTATGTAATTTTTAAAGCCACATCATAAAAACAAAAATAAAAATATCCCAAGAAAGTCTTAGATCAACAATATCTAACAAAACATGTGCGAAAAAATGTGAAGATTATTGAATAATAAGCCCTATGAGCCATCTCTTGAAACCTTTTTTGAAAATTATACATAAAAGAATATATAAAAGTGTGAAGAACACACGACAAACACATAATTTTGAGACACCAAATTTGACCATAAATATTTGAAGATTAACAAATGAAATACGTAATAAGACAATAAAATAGCAACTCAAAGGTTAAAAAGAAGTACAAACATGAAATAAATGGATCCAAAGAAGACACAAAAACACACAATATTTAATGAAATCTGAAAGCAATATCGAAAATTAAATAAAAAACAAAGATTAAAAACAGCAGATAAAATGATATGAGCAAGAAAAAGAGACCAGAACGAGCAATAAAGGACAGTACGATCAAGAATGTGAGAAAGCTAGAAAGCAAAAAAATTAAGAAAGACTCAAATGAATAAAATCAACAAAACAAGATAAAACTGATTTATATAAGAAAGAAAAATAGATGGGTAGAAAAAAAACATTGAAAATAGAAAAGCCAATAGATATGAATGAAGAATAAGAAGCGAATAATAAATAATAATACTCCTACTCAATAATAAATAAGAAACAGAAAGAAAAAAAATTAAAACGAAAGCAGAGAAAGAAGAGAAGAGCAAGAAGAGAGATGAGTGGAAGAGAAAGAAGAAATAAAATGTCCAACGTGATCATAGCAACGAATATAGAAGATCTACAATATCTTATCGAAAGCTTAAGTATGAATAGTGCTGAGATGGGAATTACTATAAACGCTAATAAAAGAAGTACATGCTAATTACAAAAAGACCACAAAATATACATCACCTATTGACAATCAATGGTAACGTGATAGAACAATACAATTAGAAAAATATCAGTACTTGGGAACTTTGATCAATGAAACCAATGATCATACTGCAGAAATAAACAGGCGAATAGAGATTGCTAGATGAGTATTTTTACGAATGAAACCACTCCTAACGTGCAAAAATCTAAATTTGGAGATCAGACTACGTACTATTCGGTGTTACATATTTTCAATATTATTATATGGAGCTGAGACTTAGACATTAAAAAATGCAATTTAAAAAGAATCGAGGCTTTCGAACTCTGGCTATACCGCAGAGTATTAAAAATATCATGGACTGATAGAATTACAAATAAAGAAGTACTGGAGAGGGTTGGTAAAGAAACAGAACTAATCACCACTAAACCAGAAAACTGGAATACCTAGGTCACGTGATGAGGGGACCAAAATATGAAATTTTGAGCTGTTGAGATCTGTTGGCCGAAGGCAGAACTCATGGTTGAAGAATCTACGTGATTGGTATCAATGCAGATCGCTTGATTTGTTTAGAGCAGCAAGTTCAAAAATAAAATAGCTATTAAGTATGATTGCCAACCTCCATAAGGAGACGGCACTCTAAGAAGAATAGGACAATATGTGAAAACTTAACGCTTTTAAATTAAGTATAGAAAATATTCGCAAATATAATGAATAGGAAAATTAAAAACTATTAAAAAAAATACTACAAGATGGATTTAGACTAGGAAGATCGATGATAAATACTATACATACTTTGGGACAAAGTCTAGAATAATCTTGAAAATAAAACAGAGAAACTCATGTAGTATTAATTGATTTGACTTTAAAAGAAATTTCAACACGATAAAGAGAGACAAAAGGATAAGAGTATTGAAGGACTACAGATACCAAAGAAACTAGGAAACTGGCAGAAATTACACCAAAATAAACAAATGCAAAGGTTGAAGTTTCGTGTGAAGAAATACGATTATGTGTGACAAATAAGATGTGAATAAATTATGAAAATATGTGAAATATGATACAAAAATCCGTAGAGCAACAGTAGCACAACAGAAAAGGATCAATATTGTTCTGAAGCTATTTTCTTGTGGCATTTTAAATTAATTACTATTTAACTGGGAATAAGCCACAATTAAAGATAAAAATACGTTTATTGACGTTTCAATTTTTACTTCGGAAATCGTTTGATTTCTGAAGTGGGAATTGAAACGTCAATAAACGTATTTTTATCTTTAATTGTGGCTTATTCTCAGTTAAATAGTAATTAAAGAAAAGGATCAACATATAGAAAGAATAGCAGGTAACAGATCTGTAAAAATAGAAAAATGGAAAAGCAAATGTAACAGATTAAATTTAAAAAGAAATTGATAGAAGAAAGAAATGACCAAAATGAGTGACATTACAAAGTCAATGAAACTAAAATGAAAATTTGATGAGAGAGAGAGAAGTTAAGATTGTCTTTCCATCTCATCTTACTTCTTTATATTTTCCTTTTGTCGTTCATCTTTCAGCATGTTTCTTAATATGTTGGAAGATGACCGACAAAAGCACTGAATGATAAGTGAATAGGGTAAAAATAAATAGAATATGGCTTGATAAAATATATTTTGAAGATATATTTGAAAACAAATTAAAAGTAAATAAAAACATAAATGACACTCTATGAGTACTATTGTAAGTATAAAATAGATATGTATTGTAGAAATGGAATTAAATGTGATCTAAGCTGTTAAAAGTGCACAAAATGCAATAATACAAAATACAGACATATTTTATTAAGATTTACGAAAAAAATATACGACTGCAAAATAAAAAAAATCTAAACAAACACTATATTCCAAGTAAAATTAAATATTTACTGATATAATATTTGAATAATAAAGATATTTATAATTTTTACATTATGAAGTACATTGTCTAAATTAAAGCAAACATTTTTTTTATTCAAAAAGATATTAGTTCAGTCTTATTATTATATGTTTACATTTTATTTTAACAAAAACATATTTTTTGTGATAAATAATATAAATGTAAAGTGTTACAAGCCATTGCGATCAAGTTCAGAATAGCTATCGTCATGTGGACTTTTCTGAACTTTTTGTGGATCTTCATATAATGAGGACAATCTTTCAAGGCTCCCAATTCATATCTTCCAACCTCCAGCCCAACTCCAGCTTCTTTTTCCATTCCAATTTTGATTCTTAATAAACCCAGAAGAGGAGAAGTTAAGTATAATCCTACAGTCAGCTCCACAAGCAAACACAGTGTAATGGATGTAGCTTGTATTAAAACCTCCCAAGATCTCATTATTGTGCCATTGTTGAACTTTATAAACGCCACGAATGTGATGAAGCTAAGTATGGAGTTGAAGTAAAAGTATTTTGGGAACAATACTTGCTGAACACTTCCAAAGGTATGCCTGGACAATGAGAAGAACAAAGCTAAGCCAGAGATGAACGTCATCCAGATCTGGGCACCAAAATGCGCACTGAACGTTCCCAGATAAACTAAATTCCATATTGGAGATGTTTTGGGATGAGCTTTTTCCGACATCATTATATAAGCTGCGATAATCACAAATAGGGTTGTTATTAAATGAGCTGGCTGAGTTTTGTATAATAGAATTTTGTAAACGTAAGATTGTATAAACATTTGATTTATCTTCTTGAAAAACTGGAATAAATCTTGAATATATTTTGTCGAAATACTCAGTATATCTTGATCGTATCCACCACTTTCTTTATTCAAAGCGTTGTCTGGTTCAACACCCTCACGTATATCTTGATCATCCACATCAGCATTTTTATTTGAAGTGTCAACTGATTTAGCAACTTCGAACTCAAATCGGTAACTAGGAAATCTTGGTTCAAACTCTTCAAAACTTTCGTTTGACACATCACTTTCACTATATACTTTTCTTATACACATTTTAAATTATCAATAGAACAATTTCGAGTAATGGCTAGACACACAAAATTTAACTGTGAAGTTGAAGGGATAGAGCGCAACTAAAATGCCAGACGTGACCAAAGTGACGTCGACTTTTGATGAAACATATGACTTAATGGGGAGAATGATTAAACTTATCGATTTCTGTAACAAGCTAACGACTTGAGTATAATAAATCCGGATGACTCAATTAAGTAGTATGTATACTAGTTAAATTTTATAATAGATGTCTATATTTGAAAACCGTAAAAGTCTAAAATTACTTCCAAGATTTATAACAAAACTATTAAACTTAACATGGATCTACTTTCTTACGTTTTGAATAATTGAGTTAATTTTTTACACCTACCGAGTGTGCCCTGACCGTCACAATATGTCTCCAATTTAATTCAGGCCGAATATTTAGCTGATTTAGCTCTTTAACAAAGTAGGTTCTTGTGATTCTATGAATTTTTTTATACCAAGGGTACATAAAAGATGCATATGCAATAAAAGACGCTACTTTTTGATTTATTTTAATAGTTTTATGCTATTATGAACGTTTGAATAATATGTTGGCGCCTTGTCATACTCAGCATTTTAAATGTTGATGTATAAGATAATATTATTATGGAGTTGAGATTAAATTTGCTGTTGCGGTTTTGAAATCTGTCTGTTCTGTGCGTTGATACTTTAGTCTGATATCAATCTAATTGGAGAGTTAATCATCTTGTATTATTTTTATTATTATCCCGGTTTTTTATAGCGTTCTCCGCCTTCCGGTTCCCAGTTTCCAGCTACGTCGGTCATTCCATTCGCCAGGGTGAAGGTTTCTTTCCGACATTGCCTTCTGAATGCCGCCCAGTCAGGATTGTTTTGGCCTTCCTTTCTTCCTTCTTTCCCTTGGACCCCCAATTTTAAAATTTGGTTTGGCAGCCTGTCGTCGTCCATTCTTTTCACGTGACCATACCAGATCAGTTGTCTCCTTTGAATTTCGTCACTGATGGTTGACTTGACTCTCATTATATTTCTGATATGGTCATTTTGTATTCTATCAAGCCTTGATTTTCTAGCTGATCTTGTCCTGAAGTCCATTTCCAATGCAAGTAGGCGTCACTCAAGGGATTTAGTAAGTTGCCATGTTTCGCATCCATAGAGCACTATACTTTATAATAATATATAATTATAATTAATATGGAGTTAAAAAGGAGATGGTTTCTTTGATTTGATAGTTTTTTTGACCATAACATCGGGTTTAGCCATCCTATCACCTTTTTCCTTTCACGATTCTTTGCTCTATCTCTTTTTCGGTGCGCCCAATCTTGTTGATTGTTGTTCCCAAATATATATATTCCTCACAGTTCTTGATTGTTTCATGTTCGTTGACCATTAGATCTTCTACTTCATTCCCGATGCATAAGTATTGCGTTTTGTTTCTATTTACAGAGAGGCCCCATTCTTCATATGTTTTAACCAACCGTCTCGTCATGAATTCTAAATCTTCCTTGTCTGCTGCCACTACTACTTGGTCGTCCGCAAAATGTAGAGTGTATAATGTTGTATCATCGTCAAGTTGGATCCCCATTCCTGAACAGGATCTTCTCCAGTGTTTTAGTGCTTCATTTAAATAGATCTTAAATAGTATTAGAGAGAGGCAGTATCTTTGTCGTAAGCCTTTTGTTACTGGAAATCCTTCTAATAAGGTGTTGTTTAGTTTGATTTTTGATGATGCTTTATTGTATAATTGTTTGACTGCGGCGATGATCGTGCTATTTAATGAAGATCGTTCAAGAGACTGCCACAGCTTTCTCACAGGAATCGTGTCGTATGCTTTTGTGAGATCCACAAATAAAAGATGTATTTCCTGGTTTCTTGCAACTTTCTTTTCATTCAGTTGTGTTAGGGTAAATATGTGATCTACGCAAGATCTTCCAGCTCTAAATCCTGCTTGCTCTTTTTTTTGTGAATTGGAGTAATCCATGCTTCTTTCCAACTATTCGGGATTTCTTCCCCATTTAAGTATCTTGTGAATAGCACGTTCTCCGGCCCGGATGCTTTGTTATTCTTCATCGATTTAAGCGCTTGTTGTATTTGTTCTTCTTCCACGTTTACATATTCACCTTGTACTCGTGTTCGTTGAGGTGAGTCAGTATTATAAATATCTCTATCTTCATTCAGTTCCCTTGCGTAATGATCTTTCCATGTATCTATCTGGATGGGCTGTATTCGACTTTTATTTGATGTGTCGGTTTTCAGGGTTTTTATTCATTTCCATGCCGCTGATGATCGCGCTCCTCCGATGTAACAGTCAACTTCTTTACATTTTGCATCCCATGTTTCATTTTTGTTAATCCTTGTCATATCTTTAAATATTCTTTGCTGTTCTTTGCATATTTCTTTATCTTCAAGATTCTTAGTGTTCAGCCATCTTTTGTACGCTTCCTGTTTCTTATTTCTTTGCTCTTCAAGCTGTATATTCCAAGTGATTTTTCTCGCTGATCTGTGGACTGTTCTGGTTTCTTCGCCTAGAGCTTCTTGGGCTGCGTGGTGAATGCAGTCAGTTATATGTTCGTATAGTTGGTTGGTTTCAGCAGTTAGGTATTCCTCGAGTAGTTTTTCATTTAATCTATTTTGGTATAAGATTTTAGTGCTATATTCTTGTAGGCTTCTGACATTATATATCTTCAGATTTATATCAGTTTCTTTTGTAGTATTGATGCTTTCAACGTGTTCGGTTAAATGGAGTCTTAGCCGCAACCAAATAATGGTCAGATCCACATTCCTTACCCCTGTAAGCCCTAGTGTCCTGGATGTTTAATTTAGTGTTGTGTTTTGTAATGACATAGTCGATAATAGATTTTATATTTCTAGTGTCTTGGTGCAAAGTGTATTTATGTATATCTCTATGTTTGAAATAACCGTTCCATATTCTTAGCTGGTATTGTTGGCATAATTCAATTAGTCGTCTACCATTATCATTTTCAGCCTCTTCACCATATCTTCCGATTACAGGGTCTTTTTGCCTTTTTCCTACTCTCGAGTTAAAATCCCCCAAAAGTATTATTTCTCTCTGGTTTCCCACTTTTATAAGGGTTTCGTTTAGTAGGTCATAAAATTGATCTTTTTCTGCTAGATTTGCGTCATCGTTTACACCATATATTCCTATAATTGTTAATTTATGTTCTTTTATCGTTATATTTACTGAGGCTAGTCTCTCATTTATTGTTTCCCAGCTAGTAAGACCTTTCTGATATTTTTTATGTATCAATATTGATACACCTTTTGAAGCCCTGTTATTTTTTGGAACTTCACTGTGTATATGTAAATAGTCTGACTGTTGATCAATCCCGTTTCCTTTATTTTTGGTTTCTGTGAGCACTGCTACATCAACCTTCGTTTCTTCAAGGGTTTTCATTACATCTTCCGTTTTATTTCTTAAACCTTGGACGTTCCATGTTGCCCAAATCATTTTTCTTATCCGTAGCGAGTTTCGTCTTCGTTTGAGTCCGAGTTGAGACATAGTACTAGGATTATTAGCATTTATAGGATTTCTACTAGTATGGAGGTGCTGGCCCCATAACTTAACCCCCTCCAGGAGGACCGGGTAATTTTTAATCAAGGCTTTCTTCCTCTAGACTAGTTGTCTTTCAGGACTGTAGAGACTGTCTTCCGTTAACTCGGTTCTTCCGCTTTCGGGACCATTGGATTTCACTCGTGCACTCCGAGTCAATCTCATTTGCTCCGTCCACCGTTGAGCTTCGTTACTCACGTTAATCATCTTGTTAGTATCTTTATTATCACATGGAAGAAAAAGCTGATCGGAGGGTAGTTTTAACATCTATAGGGCAGTCACTCGTATGCAAGATTACCATGATGGCATTGATGGTTTAATACTTTCAATTACAATGATTTTTTTTTTGGTTTTGTGGTAAGTAAACGTGAGTACCTTCAAAAGGTAGTCATTGAAAATAATATCGACGTGGTCGCAATTCAGGAAACCCATGTAGAAAATTAAGAACAAATTCTCGCTAGAGGAAGAATTCATGGCTATGATTTATTGGGGCTCTAATAAACTGGAGCGAAGAGGTTGACACTTATTTAGTCTTTGACGCTAAATATCGGGGAACGTTTTGATCTGCGGCCTGGAGGCGAGAATACAACCCAGACCTATGTTTAGTTTTCACAAATGAAAACAATCAACCACTGGCAGCTTCCCGTAGAGTACTGCCAGATTTTCCACACAGCCAACATAGACCAGTTGTAATAGAAATTGGCATCAAAATACCAATAATATCATCTTTTCCACGACCTACGTGGAACTTTCAAAAATCAGACTGGCCGACTTTAACTGAAAGATTGTACAAATGTCTGGGATGCATACCCCAACACGTTCAAACTACATGAGATTTGTTGGGGCGGTTATCTCTACAGCGAAGAAAACTATACCCAGAGGATATCGTAAAGAGTATGTCCCAGAATGGGATGAAAAATGTGAGAAATTGTATCAAGAATACAACGAAAACCAAGACCGAGAAATTGCGGATGAACTACTGCACAGTTTGAATGCAGCCAGACGACAAAAATGGATGGAAACTGTGGAAAAATTACACTTTAGTGAATCAATCAGAAAAGCATGGTCTTTACTTAGAAAACTTGGTAGTAGCAGACTCCCAACTAGAGACAAAGTACCAATAGCTCCCAACAGGGTAGCCTCCTACATTGTAGCAACCTCAAGAGCACCTAGAGATCGTGATCAGACCATTAAAGTTAAACAAGAACTAAAAATATCAAAGTCTGCATGCCCGCTTACATCTGAATACTCTGACGAATTTACTTCAAAAGAAATTATTTCAGCAATATCAGAAATTAAGTCTGGAAAGGCACCCGTCTCCGATAAAATTCATCCAGAATTTTTACTCCAATGTGGCAAATATGCTAGGAAATGGCTGGATAATTTCTATATAGATATGTTAAAATAAGGAGAAATACCCCATTCACTAAAAAATGCCTCCATTATAGCCAT